CTATATTGTATTTACTTCTAAGTATGTGTGTAGTCCTTCGGCTAAAGCACTAATATCCAATTAGAGATTTGATATATTTCAAGTTTGGCCACGAATTGATATCAGATAGAGAACCATTGAAAAATTGACAGGGAGTACTGGGCAGCTAACTGTTTCGTCCTAGTGCTTGGGATTTCTCATAAGTACCCATCCACCACCCGGGTTGGAACCCAGCACCTTACGATTACAAGGAGAGATCGGAGACCATTCAACCACTAGAAGCCGATCCAACGTTTAGTCCATGAATTTCAACTTTCGCCAATTTGTTAAAGCAACTCTATTACTTGGTAGTAGACATTTATGATTTTCAGTGTTACCCTTTTCTTTAAGCTCGATTAGTTTGATCTGCAAAACTCGTATTGTCCTTCAGTACTATATATTCCTAGCGTCGACTACAAGTGGACAGGCCTAGGTCTAGGTCACAGAACACAAAGGTAAATAAAACCAAAGCATAGATCTGAGATAAATATCTTCACCATCATACATATACATACATACGTTGGACTGTGCGCCATAGTTCTTCATATTTCAAGGTTCGATAATACTAATACTGTTAAGTTTTATAGGGATAAAACTGGGTGAGATAGGTTATGAACTTAGGGCCCATTAGTTAAAAGCTTAATATTTAAATCAATAAGCCACACCTATATATATATATATATATATATATATATATATATATATATATAATACATCAAGATAAGTGTGCCGACAAACAAAACGTCTAACATTATGACATCTTGACAATCATTCTATCTAATGAATGCCACACATCTCAGATTAAAATCTCTGCGCGTAAAAATAAAAAGAAGACAGAAAAGTAGTATATCTTTCTGACATGCCTTGGAAGCAGAAAAAAACGAGAACAAAAACAAGTAAAAACACACTACAGGTGAATTGATAAGATGATTTTCTACCGGAATGAATGCGAATTCACTATAACCTAACACCGTTACCATAGTAACTGTTGTTACCGGAATCAGATAACAGTGAATAGTCTAACAGTTTTTGTTGTTGATTTCTAGCTAGCTAATGCGTTTACAACAAACACTACACCAGTTAGATAAGGTTAGTTGATGAGCCTTATCAATATTAATTAATCAAGGTAACATAAAGACACAAATAGGCCAGTCAGTCAGATTTGTGTATATCTCACAATTAAATCACCCGGGAAAATTGTATTTCTAAATGTGTAAATAATACTTTACTTAATATAAACAATTAAACTAAAACAAACATCAGTCAACCTTTATTTTTTTCTGTTCGCTTGTTTGTTTATTTGTTTGTTTTCAATCTAAATTATGCTCTCAATTTTGAACATTAACTACCAATTACCATATGCATATTGATATATACATAGATGTCCTTCTTTGAGTTCATTTCTCCAGTTATTACTACAACTAATACTACACAACTTCAGATGAATTTTTATTCTGGTTGAAAATCCTAATGAATTTAAGGGTTTATGAATTGGCAAAAGTTAGAATTCATGCGCTGGATATTGGATCGGGTCCCGAAGACTTCATGGTCTACAAGTTCGCCTTTTAACTAGAAGATCCTAGGTTCGAACCCCGGCGGGTATATACTGATGAAGAATCCCAAAAATAGGGAGAAACAGCTGTCCAGTACTCCTAGGCTTTCCAATGATTCTCTAACTGATGTCAGCTCATGATCAAATCCTCCAAACAAATACAGTATTGTCCAGTTCTCCTTTCCACTTTTCAATAGTTCCTATAACTTGGATGAATAGAGTAAGATGAAGAACAACAGTAAGTTGTACAGAATGAGAGATGGTACCATCAATGTTTATTTCGTTAGCGTCTCATCCACTGCGTACAGTCTTAAGAAATTAATTAAGTTTATGTGTATCAAACAATTTAAACATACTTGCAAATGTTACATAATGTCAGTTAATGACAGTAGACTTTAAACTTAATAAACAGTCCTCAGAAAATTTCACTTACACAGCTTAAACACCAAAGGTTCGAGTTCAAACAAAACGCTATATGCTTCGAAATAATGACAAAATAGTTAAGTTATGAAGACAAGAGGTGAACAAGTTGACAAATAATCCGATGAGTTCAACTCAAATCATGAAAACAAGAGACAAGAGAAGTTACACTTTATCCAAGGGGGAGAAGGGGTTAAGCTCAAAGGGAAAGAGAGAGACAGAGTGAGGGTCAAGACAGCCAGTTACCATGATAAGGAAAGACAACTGATAACTGCTTCTTTCTAGATACACAAAAGTCGGCTTCAAGGCGTTTTGATAGAGATTGCCTCGGTAGGCAAATTTAAGGAGAATTGAACTATTTCGTTTATCGACAATTTCGGCACATATTCAGAAAATCGAAGGTGTAACTTTGCGTGTCTCTTGTTTCTATGATTTAAGTTGAACTCACTACATTGTTGCCTAGCTTATTAGTTACTCATCACCTTAATCAACTCTTGCCTTTATTACGTAACTGCCTTACCATTGTATGCATTTACTCATGTTTAAACTCCAAACTTCGGTGTTTAAGCTAAGTGTAGTTTTCTGAGCACTGTTTATTAAGTTTAAAGTCTCCTGTCATTAACTGCCATTATATTCTGATTTCACACTAGTAACTAGTGTGATGCGTCTAGTCCTCTCTTTGGTGCAGACTGAATTCTATCAGTCAGGTTGTAATGTGACCACCATTCTAGGTAGCTCGCCATCACGGTGTACATTGTTTGTGATGATATGAGATGGTTGGAGGCAATCGGCAGGAAGCCTTGGACCTAGGTTTCGTGCTAGTTGGCACTCGTCAGCAAGGCGTATCTGCAACCTTGAAGGAACTGATGTCCCTTCTGAGATTCGAACCCGCGTCACCCATATCATATCATCACAAACAATGTACACTGTGATGGCGAGCTACCTAGAATGGTGGTCACATTACAACCTGACTGATAGAATTCAGTCTGCACCAAAGAGAGGACTAGACGCATCACACTAGTTACTAGTGTCAAATCAAAATATAAGGGAATAAATGTATGAAGGCTGTTAAACTGATGTCGTTGTGTGATGCAACAAAAAATTGATCATATTCACTGCAAACTAACACTTAAAAGGTGCATTCATCAAAATCTTCATACTTTTCAACAATACAATCAATTTGTATAAATAGAAATATAAAAATGGTTAAACAAGCAACAAATGTTGCTTATAATGAAGCAGGATTCACTAAATTCATTCAGCTTTAGTAGAACTTTAGAAAAGATTTACTGAAAATTTAATGAATTCATTAAATCCTACATTCAAGTACAACATATGTGGTGGCTTGTTTTAAATTCGTATATAGCGGGAAAATAAATGTTTTCAATTTTTGAGGAACAATGTTGCAAGAAGAAATGGTATACGAAGAATGGAGATGGAGTTGATTGCCTTTAGTTTTCAGGCAAAATGGACAACGGGTTCGAGCTCACTATCACCAACTTTAACTTGGGCAAGTGAGTAGTGATCATCAGTCCTCAAACACACAATATATGAGGCTTATAGCTTGGTGAGTTAAGCAGAAAAACATTCTAATATACATGTCTGGGAAATATAGAGTGGATGTGAAAAAAGCATAGAATGGTAGTCAAACCTATACCTCCATTTCACCGACTTTGATGAAAAGGTCCACGTTGACTACTTCAAAACTATGGTGTGCAGTGCCACAAATCTTTATCAACCTCATTCAACAGATACATGACGATGGCACGTAACAGGTGATCCACAACGGAAATCTCCGTAAGGCGTTTGCAGTGAATTCATGAGTAGGACAAGGCTGCCAGACTACTATTACCAATGACATTTCTAAATGTGGTCGACCAGATTGTGCATCAGATCGTGAGTGGGGAGCGGGAAGACAGGAATACGCTGGACCGAGAAGAAGATGCTAGAAGATATGAACCAAGTGGATGACTCATGTCTAATATCGCACAAACTCGAAGACTTACAGGCGAACACCAACAAGTTGACAGAAGATACAACCAGCGAAGACAGAACTTCAAGGAAACATAGTGAAGATGAAGATGGTGAAAGTAACCGAGCAACAACAAGCAACACCAATCAACGGGAGAAACTTGAAAGAGGTTACTTCCTTCACTTATCCAGGAAGCAGCATTTCAACAATAGGCGAGAGCAAACAAGAGAATGTCAAAGGTAGGCTGGATCGGAAAGGGAAGACAGACCTCCATCATTCTGAAATCGGTTTACGAATCTGCAATCAGTATAGAGAACAAAATTTGGATTTTCAACAAACGTCAAGTCACTTCTACATGGGTCAGGAAATTGGCCAACGCGTCACGGAAAGCATTTCCAACAACCAACTGCAGATTTTTATCAACAGCTGCCACCTGCCCTGGCTACATACTGGAGAACAAATGGTGGGGCAGCCGGAAAGAATTAGCAACAAGAAACTCTGCAGCGGAAGAAGCCGACCAAGAACCTACTGTTCAACAAATATCCCGAAGAAAGTGGAGGTGGATTGGGAACACAATTAAGAGACCGTCGAATGACGTCGCCCACAATGCAGGCCATCATTCAAGCAGAACCCATATGGGAAACGAGTTGGGTGTGTGTCTGAACATAAAATGGAGGAGATCAGAGACTATGGCCGACCGTAGGCCCTATGCTAAAGAGGACCCCAGAGAATAGGACAAAGTAGAGGCGTGCTGTTGGAGCCCTATGTTCCACTCACTCAGAATCCGAGAAAGCAATAATAATATTAATATTGACAATATAACCACCACATATTCCGCATATATATATTTACCTACCACTGTCAAAAAGTCGAAATAAAAGGTAAAATAAATGGACATATTTTGTTATCTAAATAACTTAAGTATACCAAAAAAAACAACCTATTTATCAACTCGAAGAATGTTTAAAGCATACATCATCTATTCAAACAAAACTTTATCCTGATTATTTTATTTAATTATCCTTAAGGTTTGATTAATTAATGTGTATCACTTTGACACACACATAAACAAAGAAACAAAACAGCAATGCTTACTTGATTATCTGGTTGACGCCAACCGACAATACGAAAAGCATCTAAACCATTCTGTTGAAGTATTTGAATCCAAGACAGTGCTCTTGTCCCACCACTAGGTAACCATTTTCTATCCTCAGTATTAAACAGTAAGACATAAGCTTGAGCTGAGGCTACTGGGGATTCTCTAGAAAGAAAAAGACCAAAGAAAAAAAGAAGTTCGAAGTTGTAGTTTCTTAATTTATATGCATAGAGAGAGAGCTATAATACTTTTAGAATTCTTTCTTCCAAAAATTATTACATTAATTAATTAGTGCCTACATAATAAAAAAAAGAAGTGCACAAATTATCCGACAATAAACATCCACCCTACACCCACACCCACAAGCGCGCACACAAAGTTGGCACACCTCGAAATAAGACGTGTAGAGTAGAGTAGGTATATTAACCAAAGTACATCTATCAATTTAATGATAATAATAATAATAACTTTATTTCAAACAGTATATTTGATACAACATCGCATTCTCAGCATGTAATCTTAGGTTTGAAAACGGAACGAAATTAGGGAGAAAATTACCCTTATACAGTGAAATGAGAACAATGTTTGGCATGCAATTCGATCCTGTTAAATGTAAGATGATGAGGCTACAGGACTGGACTACATCAACTACTCATAGGTGGCTTAAAGATAGGCAGGAGTGAAGTGGTGGCTAAGCGAGTTGACCACTATGTCGCTTTATAGGGAAGTTGTATCAGCCAGCCCTAGCGGGTTGATCGCTGACCAAATCTCCACATGGATATAGAAGGCTCGTTTGGCATTTCCCAGCTTACGCCATCTCTGGCTTAGTAGATGTGATATCTGGATAGCTATCGACCAAACGATGTGTGTACTGCACGGCACCAGCTCGCTCCACCCTCCTTTATGGCTCACTATGAGCGAGACATGGCCATTGAAAGTGGGAGACATGAAAAGCCTAGTTGGCTGTCTTTCATCATATGTGTCTCTGTTCTATCTCTTGTCCCAGGTGGTAAGTGTAATAGGGTCGAATGCTCAGTAAGGAGGGAAAATCAGTCGACGAGGTCGTGAAGTTACACCAATTGAGATAGCTAGGACATGTTTTACGCATGACTAGCTATCACCTTCCTCAATGAGCAATGTTAGGTGACTGACATACGATCGCTCAGGTTCCAAAAGGACTAGTGGTGGTCAAACCAAAACCAACAAGGCGTCATCAGTCAATAAAACGCACAACAGTTTAAGCCAGCCAAGTAGGGAGGAGTAGACCTCCTGACTGACTGATCGGGGTACTCGAGATGGTTAGAACCAATTGGTGATACAGCTCAAAATGATCATTTTCAGTGGCTGGCGCAGATGCACTCACTTTTTGTGATTTATAATATCCAATAAAATTCTATTGCTCTTCCATATTATTATTCTTTTTGTCTCACATTTCTGTTTATTATGTCTATTCTGAACCTCTCTTGCTTTGTGTGCTACATGGAGTGTAGCAACTCGAACTCGGTCGGTCGGTTTTCGACATAGAACTTTGCACATATGTGCGGCAGTTCAAGTCGCCACACTCCTTCCATGTAGCACACAAAGCAAGAGAAGAAAGTAGAAGAAATGCATAATATAGACAGTAAACAGAGGTGTGAGACAAACGAATAGTAATAACGGAGAACAAAACAGTTTCATTGGAAATCATAAGTCACAAGGAGTGGATGCATCTGCGCCACTGAGAACGATTTTCAGCCATGTCACCAATCGTTTCCAACCATTGGTTTTTACCGTCCCGAGGACCCAAACCAGGAAGTCTGCATCTTCCTACGTGGCTTAGACTAACTGTTGTGGATTTCATTGACTGGTGCCATGTTTTCGTTTGACCGCAACTCGAACTGCTGCACATCTGTGCATAGGTCTACGTTCAAACCAATCAGTCGATGAAAAAAATATGAAATTTAGGACTATTATTGGTGAATACGTGTACAATAATATGATTAGTTTTAGATCAAGTCTCTAACAGTCCCCAACCACAAACCTTCACCACTCCGTAAACCCTAGTGAAGCAACTTATAACTCATGATATGATTCAGAGTTATAGTCAACGACTTTGAAAATTAATTCATGTAAGTGTGGCATCTTGAACTACATAGTAGTAACTTCGTATGCTGCTACACTAATACTATGTATACATCTTTGTGAAATGGAATCAAGGCTTCACTTGACCACGCTTAATAATTTACTTCTACCTTAATCCTAATTTAGACGGCATTACTCATCGATATAAAACAGCAGGTGGTTATGTGTTGTAGTCTGTATCACAGATACTTCAATCGATGAAGGCTTAAAATACTATTGACTGATTTAAGTGTTTGGTTTATTTTTTTACACTAGAAAACAGCCAAGAGGACTTTGATATCTATTCATCTGTAACAAGTTAACTATGAATAATTCAACTTCTTAATTAAGGATGCTAGTTAGGTCAATCAATCACTCTATTATTATTGTCATTTCTTCGGGTTCCTAGTGGAACACAATTCCACATCTCCATGCTTGCTTTTAATTTCATCGAAAGAAGACACATCGATTAACTGGCTCTCCGAAAGGTATTCCACGTTTCTCCGATTCCAAAGAAGAATGTTTGTTTTTTACATTTTTCTTGTGCTTTAATGTTTCTGTAGCGATTGTACTGATTTTCCGGAGTAGGGCTTCTGCCCCCTACCCTCACGCCCAAACTTCCCTCTTTCTTTGAGCTTAAAACAGGCTAGAAAACCAGTGGTAGACTGACTAGTAAACTAAGCGAGGTTCTTACATATAAGCGTGAAGTTTACATGAAACTTGGAGAATATAGTAACGACTTTTGTTTATAGCCCTGGACCTCCGATTCTACGGTACTTTCTACACCTAAATAATTAAAAATAGATTTTAGTTTCGTGCATCAAGCAGCTTCCTTTCATTATCACAGATGCTTCGTAAGTAAAAGTACATAACTCAAGATCATTCACCAAATTTAATACAATCATCTGCCAATCTATTAATTCAGTGTTCCAATTAAGTTATCATTTGATTACAAATATAGGTGTAGGAATACAAGAAGTAGAGTACATTCCAATGAAGCTGTGAGTGAGAAATTCTGACTGATTCACGCAGATTTAATTGAAAAATTGGCAGAATATCTACACATGTGTGGGAAATAGTCCGTGTGCATTGTACGAAAATAAGCAACCAACGAATTTCTACACGCATAGAACATAACTATATTTTTTCCACAGTTTTCACAATAACCGTGGTTGACAAATACTTCAAGGGTATATGAGTAACTCTGCTGACCTAAACCTTGTAAGGTATTTAATTTACTGATATACTTAGGGTAGTGGGAAATTATCGTCAGATACTTGTGATGACCAATTTAAAGTTGGCCACAGAAATGAGAATGTACACACTTTTACTATCTTAAGAATTTTGAATATTATATTCACTCATCTTATCTATTCTACAACATATTTATCGATTATAGTAACTTTTTGCAGTGTCGCACATGCTTTACTTTAAAAAGCCGAGAAAACTAGATAAACAAAGCCAACATGTTTCCACTAAGAAAATATTGCTGCAAATTACCATTAGTCTACACCCTATAAAATGGTCTTTATAGCCCGGAAGTAAGGCTAAAAAACCAAGTTATAATTAAAACAGTAGTCTAGCCTAAAATTCAACTGTTTTTGTAGGGAACATTCAATGCCATGCTTCGTGACATAGTCTAAGTCATATGAAAATTCATATAACTTGGATTCATCTTTATTTAGGTGACTATAAGCTATGTTAACAAGTCAATTCCTTTTCAAAAACAAAACATCATGAAAACGTCCAAATCAAACCAAAGATGTGGATTCTGTACCATACCTTAAATGGTGTAAAAAGTACTACAAACTCGGAAGGTTGTATTACGAAGTCCGTTAAAGTGAAACCCATTTATATATCAAGGTTATGGTTAATGAAAAATTTCCTATCAAATGTATATTACTCCGAACAGAATTATGAAATGATTTCTCTCCGGATAGCAACAACCAAAGCACTTCTGGTAATGGCGTCAAAAATTAAAGTTGAAGTGCTGTTCGCTACATTATATATCTACATGGATTTGGAACAAAAAAGGCTTGCAGTTTCGCTTTTAAGTAAACTTAAATTTGGATATTGCAATGTACGTACAATATTTATGTTTCTAATTTTCCATAACCAACTCTTTACCATTTCATTAAAAAAGTTTATCAGTAATACGGTTTGCTTTTCATAGGTAGAAATAAAGTCCATGACAAAATTAAACACATGCCATACACTTAAAGATAAAATAAATCTAATATACAGCATTTAATAGAATCATCTGCAAAAAGCTCACTAATTTATGTACATGGGCGCTATTTTGGGCAAGTGGTGAGAGTGGTAACATAAAGGGGGGATATGTGGTTAAATCGAGATTAGAATGGGAAGGTGGTGGTTATCTAGTGAGAGAGTATTGGTTTAATCTTGACTAAATAATGCTCACTTCAGGAAGAACTATATCACAACTAAAATTTGTCTATTTTTCTTACTACTGATTATGACCATTATTCACCCATTTTTGTTGGATTGGGATGCAGTTTGTACGTAAGAAAATTTTCTAATGAACATAAAAATTCTTTTAAGAAAAACAACAGAAGTGAAGATATTCAAACGGTAGAAACACGACTGACTTACTTTAATTCCCTAGCTGTCGACATCAAACGCACATCCGAGAAACGTTGTGTGGAAAACAAAAGTAACGAACCTAAATGAAAAAAATTAAATGTATATATGGATTTACTATAAAAAGAAGCTTATTTGCGGAAAAAGTCCTGAAATAGCAGTGCAGATAACAGCTAGTTTATGAAGAGTTAACCACAACCCAACTCACTGTCAATCAAAAAATTGTCCGGCAACGACCTTGAGGTGTAAACCTCCCACCATGCATTATGATGCCGAGTAACGCTCAAAAGTTCATTACTTTGTGACGTTAAGATCAACTATTTTATTTAATGGAAAAACAGCTGATTAGGGAATGAAATATTCAAGGGTGAAATCAACTTCATAAGAAAACTGTAAAATCTCAAATAACATGCAGTCTAGCTTTATTCATTTTTCGAGCAGTGAGTTGAACATAGAGTTGCAAGCGTTAGAATCTTCAGTACCAGTGGTCTTTTTATCAATTACTGTTGTTGCTAGCTGCACGTACAACTTCCTCGCCTTTCGAAGGTCACTACCGGCAGCTAGACTAAGGCACGTTTGACAGAGATTTGGACGTGAATAGAACCCTAACGTCACGCATAGCTGGCGAACATTCAAATACTGACTCATCTACACATCATATATATATGCATAGTGCAGTAATTTTGGTCGCCACTTCTTTGGATGATTTTCAGCGCAACAATGAATTGCTTTGTGCACCAGGCCTACCACCCCAGCACGAAGTGACCTTCCATAAATAAGCTAAATGCTATTCTGACTGATTAGCTCGGGACTTAATACTGTCTGTTTTCCTTTGGGACAAAGGGCTTCAGCAGCGCATCGCCATTTCACTCTATCGTTTTTATTCTTTTTTAGCATGTTCTAAGATTGATCACAACCACTGATTCTTATGAAGTTTCGTATTAACATGTAGGTTTCCGGGCACGTTGTAAATTGACTTCGCACTTTCTCTTGTTCTTCTTAACTCTATCACTCTGAGTCACTATTTTGGTCATATAAGCCAGATATACTGCCACATATTTTGACTCAAAGATCTCCTATCCTTATTGCATCCATATGTGTGTTTCTCCTCCGAGAGTATTTCTACGTAATTAAGAGAATAAGGAAGTGAGGAGTGCTACAAAAGACAAACTACAATTCTACGACACACTGGCCGGCAAATGAAGCAGAACAGGCAGGGCGCAGGCAAAAGAGACATCAAAACACTATATCAGATAACCAAGTCTCTATCCGGGAAGAGATCAACCTAGATGATGAAACCAATAAAAGACTCCTCAAGGGAACCTGATTACCAAGGAAGAGAAACAAATCAAACAGTGGGCTGATCACTTTGAAGGACTCTTGAATCGATCACCGGCAAAACCCCCTGAAATACAACTGACAGCTCCTCCAAAGAAAGAAGAAATGATGAATGTGATCAAGCTACTTAAGTCCGGGAAGGCAGAAGGACCGAACGGCATTCCTCCATAGCACTGAAAACGGCCCCATAGACTACGGCAGATATTCTCACTCCATTACTGTAAAAAGTTTGGAAGGAAGGCGCCTACTGATTGAAGAAGGGCTACCTCGTCAAACTGACAAAGAAGGGCAACCTAGGCCTGTGCAAGAACTGGCATGGAATAATGCTCTTATCCACGTCAAGCAAAATACTAAGTTTCATCATCCTGGAGAGAATAAAGGATACAATGGATACAGATCTTCACCCCACCCCCAGAACAAGCTGGATTCAAGAAAGGTAAATCATGTGCTGATCAAATTGCAACTCTACGCATCGATATCGGACAAAGCATAGAATGTCAGTCAAACCTGTACCTTAACTTCATCGACCTGGAATAGAACTTCTACAGACGGCGATGACCGAGAAGTAATTTGGAAACTCCTTCAACACTATGGAGTGCAGTGCCCAAGTCCTAATCAATCTTTTTAAATAGCTATGTGACAGTGCCATGTGTCAGGTGACCCACGATGGAGAACAGTGAGGCATTCGTCATGAAGACAGAAGTAAGACAAGCTGGCTGTCTATTATCACTGATGATATTCCTAATTGCGGTGGACTGGATTATGTGCCAGACTGTGCACAGGGACTGAGCACACAGGAACACGTTAGACTGAAAAGACTCTAGAAGTTCTTTATTTCGCGTATGAATGATATATGTCTAGTATCACACAACCACGAGGACTTGCAAGCGAAAACCAACAAACTGGCTGAAAAAGCAGTCATTGAGAATAGGACTGCAAGTGAACATAGAGAAGACGGAGGTGATGAGGATAATCAACGAACCGCAACAACAACAGCCATCAGCTGCAATCACCATCAACGGGAGAGATTTAACAGAGGTTGCCTCCCTCACCTATCTGGGAAGCATCGTTTCAACTACAGGCGGAACGGACGAAGATGTCAAAGTCAGAATCGGAAGTGCAAGATGTGCCTTCACCAGTTTGGAGATCTTCTGCACTCCGCCTTAGCTTTAGGAACAAGATTAGCATTTTCACCACCAATGTCAAGTCGGTTCGTTTATATAGGTCAGAAACTTGAACTGCGTGTCACGGAATGATTTTCAACAGGTGGCAGACTTTCATCGACAGCTGCATTCGCTATCTACATACTGAAGATCAAATAGCCAACCGGCCAGAAACAATCAGAAACATGAAACTATGAGAATAAACCAACCAACAGCAGATCGCTCAACAAATATGTAAGAGAAGGTGAAGGTGGATCTGGAACTCATTGAGGAGGCTGCCGAATGACATCGCTTGCCAGTACCTCGGGTGGAATCAATATATATAAAAGAAAGAAAAAGTTGTGTGAGTAACTTGATATGATTATGAGCAATAATTTGTGCTCGAAACGTCATCACTTAATATTACTGTGTAACACTGAGTGATTTACCAAAATAAAATCTTATCTGTAATGGAGTTAGCACTACATTTATCGGAATACACATCGCCACAGTTAATTGAGAGAAATAGTAAAATATAGTGGACATTTCACAAAACCAGTTGTTGGAAAGCCTGTCAGACCACTAAAATCACTGAAGAGTTATGAGAGAAAAGTAAAAGAAGGTTACTGTTCGACTCTGTTTCACACTAAGATGTCAATTCACACCAAACTTCTGTAGCAAGTAGTGCATCTTTCACTATTTCACTGCCACACACAGAGTTACTGAGCATAAGAAATTCACTGTTCTATGTATTCCGAATATTCAAAAGTAAGGCGTTTCCCAAGCTTGGATCATATTTCGAATTCGATTAAAAATCCACTTATATAACTATGGAGCCTTTTATTTATGCTAATGTAATATTGTGCAACACACTACACTAAGGATCCTGTACATTAGATAGACACATTGTCCACAAAACTTCTGTCATTACCAATGTCACCGAACGTAGAACTTCGAACGCCAGTTGCATCAGTGGCAGCTTTCATTATTCAGAGTAGCTGCGTCTTCAGTTAAAAAAGGGAAGCCGTGCGTCCGGTCGCCCAATTGTGGGACAAGCCAAGAAACGTTACACATTATTCGCTGGCCTTCACGGCTATATCTACTGAGTATTGTGAGATAGGGGTCTCATAACAGATATTTTGATATGAAGTAGTACGGTGTTTTTAAAGGGATAACGTTTCGAGTACAGTTAAATCTGATGATTATACCACTGTTACCATAGGACTTCCAAACTCTTTACACGGTCTTTAACACACTCCTCATTTTTAGAGCAGTTTTATAAATATGTGAAATCAGTAATGAGTTACTGCAAGTATGATATGGTGATTCAGTGCTATTTTACCCAGAGACACCCGTTGACATATGCGACTGAATTAACTGGTCACTGAGGAGTAAGCGTCAAGACGTTCCTAATCACTGGTGTTGGTGCTGACTGAACAGGCAAGTCCGCTGTGTTGATTAAGGAAGGTGGCTCGCCATTGCTATGCACTCTAAAATGAAGCCTCGTATTTGGGGTCATTCGGCAGGAATTCATGGCGACTGATCACTAAATCTATAGCAATCCTACAAATAGTGACATTCTAAATGTAAGCGATTAGTGACGAACTCTGGCGTGAGCTTCATACATACTATTTCATACAAACCCAGTGTATATTTCAGAAGAATACCATGCGCATTTTTGACCGTTTGCTTCTTGCGTTACATAACTTTCACTCAATTTCTGTGTAGAAAGTGACTGCCACTTCTTCATTACTGTCGTATATCTTAACTATTCGTTAGCACTGACTCGGTAATATTCCTTTAACATAAAAAAACTTTTGATGGAATAATTCCTTAGTTACCATTATTGTCTTGATATTACATATATCATGAGCTTTTGTTCATGCTAAAGTTGTTAAGTACCATGTTCTCCTCTCTTCTTTCTTCTCCGTTCATCACTATTTCTCTAGATCTATATTCTGAGTCAGTAATGCTGTCTCCCACGTCTGTATGAAGCGGTCGGGGTATGGAATTCGCAAATACTACACCTCTGTGAGGAAGTTGTACACTTAATAAGGACCAAATTGTATCCTACACGAATTCTGTTCATCAACTGGATAGGGGTCAAATTATTGATAATATCATGTCTACCAGTGACTATGTATCCATCGAGATTTTTAGATGTCAGGCCCAGGACCACAGCCCTTGATTTTCGTTTTATTTCTTATAAACCAGTAGTCAATTTTCAGTCTGCTGACCCAGTCTTTCTTTAATTCAGCCGATCAGCACAGACAGTTACGTGTCTTAAACGTAAACTCTGCAATTTCACGCGCAGATGTCCATAACTACTCAGCATTCTTGAGAATATAACTTTGATATAAACTATTCATTTGTACTTTGAAGATTGGTAGGACAATTTCACGAAAAGTAGATCTAGTCAGTATCTTAATATTGTTCGACGTATTATTGCAGTGTAACTAAGTGTTTACCGAACTATGTATATATCCAATTATCGTTCTTAAATACATCAAGATTTTCGCTTTCTGCAGTGTGCTAAACACTGCATACGACCAAATACTTAAGACATCAAGGCGGAAAGCATAAGAGAAAACTTGAAAGAATATATCACCAATGAAGTTATCATTCGAAGTATGTGAAACAGAGTGCGTCGGTGGTAGAGCGGTTAGGACGCTCGCCAACCATGCACATGGTCCGGGGTTCGATTCCCGGCCGACGCACTCCTTTACCTCGCTGAGCCAGAAATAATGCTGGTAAAGAGGAAAGGTTGGGCATGAGGC